CCAGCAGTTTGTACATGGATTATAATGTTACAAATTTACATCTGTATGCTGTAAACAGAGGCATGTAGGGAACATGAAGTGTAGTGCCCAATATAGTTATAAACCAGCCCTTGTAGGATGAGCTGTCCCGTCGTGAGGTACCTATGTTATTCTCCAGTTGACACATGTAGCTGAGTCTAATGGGAATGGAGGATTGGGCTAGGGGATCTTAGTGTGGCACCTTTGTCACATTCCTTCTCGGGTTTTGGTGGTCTGCTTGCTAGTGTAGCTTGTGGGGTTCCGGCCCAGGTGTGTTGTGTGCGTCTTAGTTCCCTCAATTCTTGGGGCGGTTTGGGGGGGGAGGGAAGGTGAGCGAGTCTCGGTGTCAGACAGTCCCGTAGGGGTAAGTGTGTGTAGTGGCTGAAAAAAGTGGTTGGGCCTCTGAGGTCGTGTGTATAGTAGCGTCAGGAGCATGTGGAAATAGCTATGTGGAAGCGGTCAGTACGTGTTGCAGACAAATAGAATTTAAAAAATACAAAAATATCAAACAAGAAAACTTTAAACTAGGTTGCCTATGGGGGCAATTCCAAATGTATAGACATAAACCTTATGCAGTCTAGGTCTCATTCAAGTGAGAGTGTCCCGTTCCCCTCCGGGAATGAAAGGAGGTATGTTGTCAACGTCCCAGGTTCTTTGGGGTAGTGTCGCCGGGTCTAGCGCAGGCAGGCCTAGGGCCTGTAAGAATTGCGGGCCCTCGGTGGGGTTGGTAACTTTGAAGGTTTTTCCCTCTTTGGTGCACAGCAGTGTTCTTGCGGTAGTCCATCTATAGCGAAGGCCAGCGGTTTGCAGGGGCTGCGTGATGGTGCGCATTGCTTTCTGCCACAGGAGCGTGGCTTTACTGAGATCCTGATAGAATGTGAGTGAGTGAGTCTCGAATTGGAACAGGGTTTTCCCCCGCAGAGCCTGCAGTAGTCTTTGCTTATCCGCAAAGGATCGGCAACAGAGGATAACATCCCTAGGCTGGGAGTTTGGCGTTTGCAAGGGTGGTGCGATACGGTATAGTCTGTCATAGGCGAATTGTTTATCATGCTTAGTTGGGAGGATGGCTGCGGTGAGTCGCCTGATGAGGTGAGGTAGTTCTTCTGCTGGTACGGTATCCTCCACTCCTCTTATCTTGATGTTGTTTTGTCTGCTTTTATCTTCCATAGCATCCATTCTGGCTGCTATTTGGGAGTGGGAGGTTTGTAGCTGCTTTATAGCTTCCCCTTGGGTGGCCATGTTTTGTTTCATGTCAGCAGAGTCCTCCTCAGATACTCGGCGTCGTTCTGTTATTGCTTGCATCTCTGCTTTAACCAGGTTGAGTTCTGCAAAGAACATGTCCTGGAAATGTGCCAGGAGGTTGTGGATGTCCCGTTTTGTCACAGGTGGTTCACTTTCAGGCATAGCCTGTGCTCCCTTCTCAGGTGCCTTATCCGCCACTGGATCAGTTGTAGTCTCCCTCCGAGGGAGCCGATGTCGTGGTTTGAGGCGGCCGCGGCCGGAGCCGGTTTTTGTGACTTGCGGCCCATCAGGGGATCTGGTATGCCCCAAGGTATGCCGGCTGCTTGTGGGTCTGTGTCCCAGTAGTCTTCGTCCCAGGGGGCAATACGCGACTGCCGCGGGAGTCCCGCCCGGTAGGCCTGAGGCCCTTTGCGCCGGATTTTCGTACCCGACGGGCACAAAAAAGGCATCCACCGGTCCGGTATGCGGACCCCAGTACAATTACGTTATTACGGCTCTGGATGTGTGGCGGTGCGCCAATTATAGGAGATTTTTCAGGCGATGAGCGAGGAGCTGGGTGAAATGGCGTCTGCTCCTGAACGCCGTTAGCTCCGCCCCAAACTGACTCCTTTCTAAGGAAAGTGGACTGGAAAGGCAGTGGAGACTGGGGCTATGTAGTCCCACATTCAGGACTATAGACGCTCCCCCTCCCAGTATTCACAAGCAACACACCTGACTCTAAGTACAGAATTCAGAGGTCTACTGCTATATATAAGCTATAAAAAGGAAATGTGGCACTCCAGGATGAAAAAAGTTTCCAACTTTATTTAAAAAGTAGTTTAAAATGTGCTACGGCTTCTTTTCAAAAGGAATACAAAATAGGTTTGTTGGAAACTTGGTTACCAGTATCTAAAATGCAATCTGAAAATTATTGTAGATGCTGCATACAGAAGTAATGCTAATGTAGGTGAAGCAGTTTTGGTGATAGCTCCACTTTCATAAAGCCATATTAAGCTGTTCTTTATAAATAAAGATTGTATTTTGCTATTACTAACTATTACTTGCTATTACTAACTAATGTTAATTGTTGATATACTTTTAATTGACAAACTACTAGCTCAATGTTAAGTGAAGGTTAAACGCTAAACACTCATTTGTAGTTAGTCAATGAAAAGTATGTCAACAATTAACTTTTTAGGAAACTTTTTTCCAACTTGCCTATTCTTATGCGAATTCATGCTAATTTCACTTTTTGTGAACATCCATTCTCTGTCTTATTCACGTATAACCTCACTAGCAATCAAATTGCGCAAACCTTTGTTAATATCTGTTTGTTTTTACCTTTGACCAATTAAGACTTAGCAGGTGAAAATTATCTAAGAAGGTGTTAAGTGTAGATGTCAACATGATTACATCTACTATAGATCTCATTATAATCAACAAAGGAAAATTAGGTATGTTAGTGTTTTTTTGCAAGTTTAATAGACAATGATATAGCACAATAAGCATCAACATAAAAAGAACAACTAACAACTAGTTAGCTTAAAGGGACACTAAAGGCACCCTAACCACTTCATCTCATTGAAGTGGTCTGGGTGCAGTGAACATGTCAGTTTAACTCTGCAGTTGTAATTATTTTAGTTATTGGTAAACTTCAATATTTGCCTTGTAAGGTTAACTCCACCTCTAGTGGATGTCTACCAGACAGCCACTTGAGGCACTTTCGGGTTGTTTTGCGACTTTTGGTCACCTGTCTGATGCTGGACTTCCTCATGCTCTGCATGAAGACATCCAGCATCAGCTAAAACCCCATAGGAAAAGCTTTGATTAAATGTCTAACTATGGGGTAGTCCTAATGCGAGTGTGGCTCTCGTCAACATGCGTCCCGACGTCGGGGGAGGAGAAGCAGAGGTGGAGGCTGACCCAGCACCAAAGTCCCTTGGTGAAGGGTCAGGCTCCACCTCCTCTCCTTCTCTGACTTTGTATTCCTAGCACTATAGTTTCCCTTTAAAGGGACACTGTAGGCACCCTGACCACTACAGCTCTTTGAAGTGGTCTGGGTGCAATATCCCATGTCCCTTAACCCTACAGTGGTAATTATTGCAGTTTCTAGAGGAGGAGGTAAGAGAGGTAAGAAAGAAAGGCCGCAAGGATGGAAGAGCCATGCCGACTCCCATCAGCCAACGCCACCCTCCTGCAAAAAAAGTAAGTAAAATTAGCTATATATGTCAGTGTTTGTATGTATGTCAGTATGTGTATGGATGTCAGTATGTATGTTTGTATGTATGTCAGTATGTATGTTTGTATGTATGTCAGTATGTGTGTATGTATGACTGTCTGTGTGTGTATGTATGTCAGTGTGTGTATGTATGTATGTCTGTCTGTGTGTATGTATTTCAGTATGTGTGTGTGTGTGTATGTATGTAATGTGTTTGTATGTGTGTGTATGTATGTAATGTGTTTGTATGTATGTGTATGTATGTATGTAATGTGTTTGTATGTATGTCTGTGTCTATCTGTATGTATGTCAGTATGTGTGTATGTATGTCTGTGTGTATGTCTGTGTGAGTGTATGTATGTATGTCAGTGTATGTATGTATGTCTGTGTGTATGTATGAATGTATGTATGTATGTGTCTGTCTGTGTGTATGTATGTCAGTGTATCTATGTATGTCTGTGTGTGTGTATGTCAGTATGTATGTATGTATGGAGAACAGAGAATAGCCACAGATCATTGGCAGAGCATAGGGGCCTGGATGGGACATACCTATGTATTAGTAAGGATAGGTAGGAGCAGCGTTGTGCAGGATTTGTAAACAAGCATCTGCATTTTAAATACCAGTTGTTGCATATTACTGCACCCAGAATTCTCAGCAGTCAATGTAACTGCCCACCCTAGCAAGTCCTGGTTGATGAGAGTTATGCAGGATGCCCAAGCAGATTTGTGAATCTAGTATATCAAATTTGTATATATACATTTTTCAATTTTATTTGCATTGCAAAATTATTTTTTAATTTTCAAATCATTTCCAATAGTTTCCAGGCATTTTTCACTGTGGGTTGTTTTCTGAGCTGTTTGTGAATAACATTGACTGATTTTGAAGTGTATAACTCAAGCAGACATGAAATGAATTTGGTTGGAAAGGTCAGTCTTTATGATTAGACTCTAGAACCCGTAATGTTTATGCAATGTGTTTTTCATATATGTGGTAGTGCATCTAATGTGATATGCACCATTATTGCAGATAATAATAATTTCTTATGGTAGGATTGTTAGCAGAAATGGGGTTTATTCACGAAAACAGTGAATTGTGGAAAGTGAACAACTGAATCGCAATACTCTGGCTAAAGTAAAACAACCTGCAACTTTAGTTGGTTTGGTAATTTTTATCCTCCAAAAACAGCTATTTTGGTTATGTTTTGCAATCAATTTTACAACTCACTGATCTTCACTGTTTAGTTAGGCTAGTCAGCCTTCGGCATTGCAGATGTTGTGGACTACATCTCCCATAATGCTCCTTCGGCCATAATGCTGGAAAAGCATCAGTAGAGATGTAGTCCTAAATCTGGAGCATCAACGGTTGCCTACCCTTGGTTTAGTAAATGTTAATATCATTATTATTAGTAGAAGTATTTACAGAGTGTCAAATTATTCCGCAGAGCTTTACATTATAAAATGGGGAAATGTAACAATAAATGAGACAATTACAAAATGTTACAGGAACAATAGGTTGCTGAGGACCCTGCTCAAACAAGCTTACAGTCTAGAATGTTAATATGTTTATTTGTCTTTCCCCACCAGCATTCTAATTGCAGTAGCAGTGCATAGGCAGTACTGATTCTTATTACAAGTATCAGTGGAATGTCAATTTAAATCTATCAGGGTCAGTGCCTTTAATGTAACACATACAGAATACATTGGTTTTCATTCACTATATTGTACCATGACACGATGTTCAAACAGCTTATTGCATCATCTATACTACTCACCCACTATTGATTTTGAAGGACACATAAACAGTATCTACCTGACCCAATGCATTATTGTAATATGTCCTTGTCATTATTAATGCACCTCAATGACTAGATAATTATGAACATGGGAACACTGTCAATTTTGCAGCTGCTGTTTCATTACCATTGTGCTGAGATGTAATAGGAAGAAAATAATAGATTTGCCTAGCAACACTAATTAACTCACTGGGTTATAGCAAAACATAATTAAAAATGAAAGGCAGGGTTTCTCCTCAATTTTTAAAAATAAATATTTATTTAAAAAGCATGTGCATACTATACAACATAGAAAACTGCATTCTATATACAAGGAAAGTTTTTGGATTGGAGCATATATACAGATTGTTTAGGATATTTACATAGTTCACGCAATAAAATTACAGGAGTGCAAACGAGAAGTATTTCTGACAAAATATTATTGAAAGAGCAATATTGAATATTTTGAAAAGCTATTCTTTTCCTTCCATCAATTAAACGTGAAGTTGCTTCAGGATGGAAAGCATGCCAATTGTTTCATAAAATCTTCAATTCCATAAAGAACATCACTAGTATCTGTACAAATATTCTAATTCAAGAATTATAAATGTACTATTTTAAGGGATAATTGGCAACCAAAAGCCATAATTAAAGCAAACACATCCCTATTAATTCTCTTCCTTCTGCAAATTTGGTTAAATTAACTGTCCTTCATTTTTTCGTAAAGCATAGAAACCTATGATAAACAATAAATTGGTTTAGCTTCGCCATATACGAGTATCTATTAATTACAGGTAAAGATACTCTGTCTAGAAACACAGGATAGAAATCTAATCCTGCTGTCATTTAGGCTAGTAATGCTATAAAGGAAAAGCATTCTCGATTTTATTATTATTTTTTGTAAAGCCCTTGAAAGGGCATTTCATTACAATGCTCACAACTTATTAAAATGTTGTGGCTATTTCAGAAGCGTTTGTTTGTAACATTGTTTCTGGTGCATAACTGAATTCTTGATATTTTCGAGACAGCCTGGGAGGAGATAATGTTCTGCCTCTGTTTAAATAATCTACATCATACTCTCTGTGTACTCGTCCGGGAGTTGCAGTGTTCATATGATAATTTGAGTCTTTGAGGTTATGATGAGGAATGTATGCGTTAGGTAATCTTGGATGATATGTATTGTAATAAGGGGTTCTTATTGAATAAGGCACTGCGAACCCCTTTTCGTAATGCATAGTAAGGTTTCCATTATGCAGACCAGTGTCAATCCTGTGACTGTAATAATGTTCAGCACTGCGATATGCCTTTGAGCTTTCGATGTAAACAACACCTAAAAAAAAAAGAGAAAATTTATAGGATATATAAATTAACAGTCCAATTATACCTTGATATATGTTGTTTTCATTATTGTCATGTTTGTCAACAAATAATAATATATATTTTTAAAGGGTGTTTGTTTAAAGCTTTGACTAATGCTAACCTGTATTGAACATTAAACTTGAACAAAATATTTCCATATGTTTTCCAAATAAAAGCAGAAAGAACAAAAAGTAAAATAAATGTAATAGAATGTATGCAAGTTTTCTCTTTCATTTTAACTTGTACAGCTACTTTTTATGTCTCTGCTAAATTCAGAGCAGTAAATATAAAACCTCTAAAGAGCCTACCAGCACATAAACTAAATGTTCTTTTACACTACTTTCAAATCTTAACCAACACTACTCCAATGGCATGTTAATTGACAATAGTTTGGTACGTCTTGGTAAAAAAAAACTCACACGAAAATGTCAAGGCAATGCAGTTGGGGGTACTATGCCCTTTGTTAACTAAGCCAGTAATTAAATGTGAATGTGATTAAGCAAAATTAGTATGTTCTTAAAGGAATACTTCATAAAAAAACACTTTAATAGATATACCCCTTTGCATCTTATTCTTTGGGGTATATGAAATATTGGCTTGGCTTTCAATAGCTGCAGATCTGGTATCTGAAGCTACTGCAATCCCTCCACTTCGGATCACAAAGATTTTTGAGGCTCTCTAATAACAGACTTCGCTATACGATTATTTTATAAAACTTAAAAAAGAGGACACTCTTCCTGCATAAGCATAAGCCCTAGTGCTTTATCTTTTTGGAATGTTCCTTTAAATATATCAAATGACAAATAATTTAAAGGACCACTCTAGGCACCCAGACCACTTCAGCTTAATGAAGTGGTCTGGGTGCCTGGTCCAGCTAGGGTTAACCCATTTTTTAATAAACATAGCAATTTCAGAGAAACTGCTATGTTTATTAATGGCTTAAGCCTTCCTCCAATTCCTCTAGTGGCTGTCTCATTGACAGCCACTAGAGGCGCTTGCGTGCTTCTCACTGTGATTTTCACAGTGAGAGCACGCAAGCGTCCATAGGAAAGCATTGTAAATGCTTTCCTATGCGACGGGCTGAATGCGCGCGCAGCTCTTGCCGCGCGTGCGCATTCAGCCCAGGAGGAGGATCGGAGGAGGAGAGAAGGAGGAGAGCTCTCTGCCCAGCGCTTGAAAAAGGTAAGTTTTTAACCCTTTCCCCCTTCCAGAGCCGGGCGGGAGGGGGTCCCTGAGGGTGGGGGCACCCTCAGGGCACTATAGTGCCAGGAAAACGAGTATGTTTTCCTGGCACTATAGTGGTCCTTTAAAGTAACACTCCAAACACCTGAAGCACTTTAGCTTGCTGAAATACTTTACGTGCAAATTTCAATAGGAAGAAAGGCACTTTTATAAATAACTTTAAATAGTAGTGAGAGGAAGTAATGTTAAATGGTTAAGTTTCACATGGTCTACCAATGACCCACATGTGGCCCTAATGAATTGGTACTATGTACAAGTTCACACTGTGCCTACACAAACCTTTCCTGATACTTTTCGGTGGCTGTTTGTGCTAACACAGCATCATTTAAACTGCAAAATGATTGATAGCAAAACTTACCAGGCTGACTATGAATGTTCTGGTCACAGATCTTCTTGAGGCCTTCACCGCTGGCATCTGAGTCACTATCATTGAAATCACTGTCTCCTTTGCCACTGTCTTTAGTGCTTCCTTGATCCACGTTAGAGTTCCCACTGCAATAAATACATATAGTGTTCTGTTAGACGACACACTTCACCATTTATTATAACCCTTGTTTAGCCATTATTCCTTCTCACAATTCACAATATATATTAACACAGGATATTCACGTAGATGTTAAAGATCATAATACATGTTGAGATAAAATTAATAGCAAGGATATGTATAATAAAGCCACACTCTAGTTAATGTAGTTGTTCAGTCACTCACTGATGCTTACATTACTGCCTATTATCAACTCTAGTGGCAGTCACTCAGATGGCCACTAGAGGTGCTTCCTGGGTCAGCTGTGCAGCAATGACATTCAGCATCTCCATGCTCGGCATGGAGTAGCTGAATACTCTACATAGAGATGTACTGATTCAACTGCGCAAAGCCAGCCATGACAAGACTGGCACGACTAGAAGAAAGTTGAGTAAAATCTCCTTAAAGTAAGCAAAGGGGAGCCAGACAACTAAACTGTAGTTCCTTTAAAGAAACTCCAAATTTATTTCAATGTCGAATTTTATTTCTAAAGTGAGACCAGAGCAACACCAAAATATTTGCTAACAGTATTTATGAAATAGATTTTCCCCTACCTTTTAGATAATCTTCTGGGCTAGTAGGAGGATTAAAAGGTAATTCATGGTATCCTAATGGGAGCTGTTTCTTTTGTGGCACAAATCTATCTTTCTTGCCCATTAACTTATACTGTATGATACACAGTAGGTGCAGAGATATGGTACCAAGTATATGCATTGCATAATATTGTTGAACTAGAGCCAGTTTGAGGAGCAGAAATCATACTTTTCTCTAGTCACTGGGAACTTACAATGAGGTAATGCAGGGAGGGGGGCACAAAGAAAATGTGTTTTATGACATTGATAAAGTGACAACATATCTTACCCTATGCTTCCAGCAGACTTTTCCTGATGCCAAGAAGATGTTTGACTTGGAGAGGCAGAAACCGAAACCTGAAAAGGCAAAAGCCCAATATGAATTAAAATGCACAATAGTTTTCTTTACTAAGTATTAGCATGTGGTAAGATGAATCCCCATAAAATGTAGGACAAAAAGCTGAGACAGCAAATCTTCTGACTCAGCAAATCTATTTCAGCCTACATTTTTAGTTAGTTGTCACCTCACCAGACCAGAGACAATTAGCTAAAACAGTGGTTCCCAACCCAGTCCTCAGGTACCCCCTAATAGTTCAGGATTTAGGGATTACCCAGTTGTGTCTAAGGTGTTTTTAGAAAGAACACAACTGGGTAATCCCTAAACCCTGAACTGGTAGGGGGTACTTGAGGACTGGGTTGGGAACCCCTGCTCTAAAAGATCACTTCTAGAACTACTACTACTCGGTATGCTCATTGACTTGTGAGTTATACAAGTTAACAATTTACTTTCAGAATATACTGTCTCAAACTTCAACAATTTGGCTATAGTTTGAAATGTGGATGTTATCTCACCACATCAGAATAGGATAATTTTGTAAAAAAAAAAAAAAAACGCATACACGAAAATGTCAGGCTTGGAAGCATTATAATATGCAAATAAAAGGGGGGATACTCGAGTGAGTTTTAATATCAATTTAGTATATGAGATGACAGGAATTCAGAAGCAACATTTCCCTTAATATTACAGGTAAATGATTATATAGCAGACTATGAGCTGATATTAAGCAATGTAATTAAAATGCATACTTACATTTGAGTTTGACTTAAGATCCTCTCTCTGACCGGTTTTGGTCGAAACGCTGTTATCCTCGGATTCTGTTTTGATGGAGAGCTGGCACGATTCAGACTGAGTAATAGAACTGGTGCTTTGGCCACTGGTGTTTAATGGCTGTGCTTCTCGGTAGATTCTCCTCTCCTCTGATTCACGTTTGAAGAGACTTGATTTTCTTTTGCAAGTACAGGCCACGAACATAATGGCTGCCAGGAGCAAAGTACAGCCTCCTGCCAAGACTGCAATGAAGATTATGGACAGATCTAGCTGCTGCTCTTCCTCCTCTTGTGGTTGCATGATGACTATCTCTACACTAGAAGGCAAGGAGTCAGTGAGAATAAACTTGATGGATGCATTGCAGAACAAGGAAGGCCTACCGCTGTCATAAACAGCAATCACAATGCTCAGGTCCTCAAATTCGTGAAGGTTCACTTTTCTTCTTAGGTATACCTCACCAGTTCCTCTGTTGATAGCAAAGAGTCTATTGTTATCTCTTAGTATGGTATAGAAGAGCTGTGAGTTAACCCCTTCATCAGGGTCGTCAGCTTTGATTTGGAAGCACAGGTAATTAGAGGGAGCATTGACTGGCAGGAGGACTTCTGCTGACCCATTGTGCAGATAAGGGAATGTTATCTCAGGAGGGTTGTCGTTTTGATCAACTATTTTGATGTGCAGTTGAACTCGGGTAGAATGTGGAGGGGTCCCCTTGTCTGTAGCCTCAACCTCAACATCTAGTTGTTTGAGTTTTTCGTAGTCCAGGGACCTTACAGCTCGCAACACCCCTGACTCTGCGTCTATAGCTACAAAGGTAGACAAGGGCTGTCCCAAAACTTTACCCTCCATCAGCCTGTAAGAAACTCTACCGTTGTCGCCAGTGTCAGCATCTCTGGCTACCACTGTAGTGATGTAGGCGCCAGCGGCATTATTTTCAATGGTAGACACTTCTAATACTGGTTTGGCAAAAACAGGGGCATTGTCATTTTCATCACTCACCCGGATAGTGTATTGATGGCGGGTTATCAATGAAGGGTATCCCAGGTCTTCAGCCACCACTGTCAGGTTGTACTCGGCAATCTTCTCCCGATCTAATAGCGATCTTGTGACTATCATGAAGCTGTCCTCATAGGCTTGCTGGAGCTTGAAATGCTCGTGTCCATGCAGAGTGCAATGAACTTTTCCGTTTGTTCCGGAGTCTCTGTCCGTGGTACTGATCAAAGCTACCAAACTACCTTCAGTGGCTGCCTCGGTGATAAAGGCGACTCCTGAGCTGATGGAGGTCAGTGGGGTGATGCTGATAGCTGGGGCATTGTCATTCACATCTAGAATATGGACGATGACTTTACAGGTGGCTGTTAAAGGGTTCGGGCTGATGTCCTGAGCCTGGACATCAAACTCGTAGGTTTGTTTGGTCTCAAAGTCAACCTGACCTTCAAGAGTTAAGCGACCGGATTTGGGGTCGATCTTGAAGAGTTGTCGAACCTCCTGAGACACCTGGGGACTAAATCCATAGACAATCTCTCCATTCACACCTTCATCTGGATCAACAGCATTGAGGTCCAGCAGCAGGTACCCCATGGGAGCATCCTCCATGAGCTCCACAGTGACCGAGCTCCTCTCGAACGCTGGACTGTTATCATTGAAGTCAATCACCCGGACACTGACCACTGCGCTGCCCGAGCGAGATGGGCTTCCTCCATCCATGGCCACCAGCTCCAATGTGTAGGAGGGCTGGCTTTCCCGGTCAAGCTCTTTCATCAGCACCAGGCCTGCGTATTTCACCCCATCAGCCCTGGTCTGGACATCAAGGCTAAAGTGACTATTAACTGAGATCTGGAATCTCTGGATGGAGTTTGACCCAACGTCCTCATCAATAGCTATGTCCAGGGGGATCCTGGTGCCTACAGGAGCACTTTCAGACACCTGCACAGGTATCTCGGACCTAGGAAACTGGGGGCTGTTATCGTTGATGTCCTTCACCTCAACTTTAACATGAATGAGGGTGAATTGCTCCTTGGAGAAACTGACCACATCCAAAGCCAGGATACAGTTTAGAGTCTGTCGGCAAATCTGCTCCCGATTTATCCTCTCCCCGATGCTCAGCTGCCCATCGCTCTCCCGAACATGGATGAGAGAGCTGTTAAACTGCTTCATCAGACGGAAGTTGCTTGTGGGTCCGTCGGTGGAGTTGAACATTGAGTTGTTGGCCAAAACTCCAATAACTGTGCCGGGAGGTTCTTCTTCAAAGGTGTAATAATGGGCCACTTCGCAAAAATACAATGGAAGTAGCATACTGAGCAGCAGCAATACAGGAGCTGCTCTCCAAAACTCCAACATCTTCTATTTCTTTTTTTCCCGAATCTGTAGCAATTGAAGCTGCAACTAAGTATCAAGTCCTAAATGTTGCACGTGTTCTTTGCAGTGGGAAAGCAAAATATTCTATCAATCCCCTCGAGCTGTGAAATCACTCAGTACATCCTGTTAAGTGTGTCTTGTATTCAGGAGGTCAGTGAGTGCTTGACTGGCTTGTCTCTCAGCAATCCTGAAGTTATATCCTGGAGAGATATGCAAATGTCACCCCTCCCTCCTTCACCAGCCCCTACACTCTGCAAGGCAAATGGTCACCCAGGCACAGCAAATTACCCTGTCATTAAAGAGATCCCAGCAGGGGGGGGTACTAATAAACTGGGACATTTTGTCACTTCTCAAACAAATCAATCATACCTTGCCATGCAGACAAGCTCCAAAACACAATTTCTCATTTGGAATTAATAGATAGGTGAGAATTAATTTCAAACAAATCTCTCTCCAATGAAGATTAATTGTGTGGATCAATTCGAATAATCAAACCACTGTATCCATAAAACTTTGATAAACTTGTTACTTTTAATATATTGACAGTGAAAATGTCCACAATGTAACTTTAAACGGTGGATGCATTTAATAATGAATGTACTGCTTTTTTATTTATATAATTGTTACTGAGTAGATTAATTAATGTTCGTTTAACCATTTCCTTCCCCTCAGTTTGGAACTGCAAATGTTAAAATATTCAGCAATGCTGTTATTCAAGTACATTCGCCAAATCACCCCTATGCCAAAGAGTCAGAAAATAAACTACTCTTTTTGTCCAAAAAGGAGTCGACTGATTTGTTGATAACATTTCACGAAACAGCTCATAATTTAGGAATTCTATTTTTAAAAATGCACTTTGCAAAGGGTTATGTTGGTTTTCCAGTTAACAATATTTCGGTAGAAATCAATTTAAGTCATTGCCTACTTAGTCCTTCATTTAAATTAGATATGAGCATGTCCCCCGGTGATGTAAAATGATTCTATCTAAAATATGGATCTCACTAGTATTCTAAGGGGATTTAAAATTGATTGGGGGTTTATTTTTTATAAACAGTCACTTTTGGTGGAGGAAAGTACACTCACAGACTAAAATAAGAGTGCTTGAAAAAAATAATAATAAAAAAAAAATATATATATATAATTTCTGCTATTTTGGTTTAAAAGTTGTTTTCAGTCCCCAGAACCTACTGTTTAATAAAGGACATTTAAAATATATACTTTAGACTTCCTTTACTTCAGCTGTAAATTAAAACCTGTGTGTTTAGTAAGAGAATATCCAATTAACACACCCACACCTATATGTGATAAGTATTTCAGTTGAAGTTAAAGATTTTTTTTTAATTTGATTATACACTTACATGCAGAATGAACTAGCTCCAAACATCCAAAACAAATGCTGTCAGACTCATTTAAATGCAATACATAATAATCAAATGTCACTATTTTCATTTAATCCATCCCCCAACACTCTCGGCCAAGCTTGTTGGATGTAATGCGATTTGCAGTTGCAAAATAGCTATCGGGGTTTAAAAGAAGGTACAATTCATCTCATTCCGACTGTTTAAATGGGTTTGTATGAAGAACACCTTAAACTGGTAAATCAGAAAGTCCACCTAGCACAGACTGATCAAGGCTTTCATGCACGAATCTGTGAGTGTGTGAGTGTAGGTGTGTGTTATTTCACCATTATATCTGACTATACCATACACTGCCTCATTACACTAATATCCAAGGCTGGGGAGGATGTTTATCTATTACTAGTCCATTGATCTAGAGACACAGTACTATTCATTGATTCAATGAATTCCCTAAAGGTTCTAATTGCATTAATTACGATTGAATAGGTAATTAAATGTAGTGCCTTTGGGTCTTTTGAAATACAAAAGACTACACACATTCGAAATTAAGGACAGTGTTCTTTTTGTTAAATCCCATTAGAAGGGCATAAGAAGTCTGTACCCTAGAGGGTTTTAATTCCTACCTCATTTTTTTCTAGATTGCTGAGGTGTGTAAGTCATTTATTTCTGATTATATTTTCCTACAGTGCAATAATAAAAGTTTAATCAATCACCTTATCACAAATTATTTTTAAGTACAGGCATTTTGTTCCATTTGTGTGTATAGTTCCCATATGGCCAGGTATCAACCAGCTGAGACATTTGGAGCTATCTCTGCTTCTTACAAACGTTTTATTGCACAGGCTTGGTGCAAAACGCAAACAAACCTATAGAACGTCTAAAAAATAATAAAAACACAAAAGGTACAAAGGTGTCAAGTGGACACGCGATGAAAAGCCAGTTTGTTCCTCCTGCTCAGTTTGGTGCTGGCTGTAAGGCTTGTCAGCTCATGGATGAAGGCCCTGGGCCCCCGCAGAGCTAGCTGTTGTCTCAGACATAAGATCCAGTCAGTCACTAATTTCACCAGCCGCTGCTAATTTAGACCATAAAATTGGATTTTAACGATAACAAAAGTAATCTCAGCAATTTAACTGATTTCAGAACACCTTATGACTTAAATCTGCTGCTCCAGATTAATAGGCATCCTGTATTCCTGCAACTGCAACTAGAATCACACTCAGTGTGGATACTCATGATGGGAGTTGTAGTTAACTCCAGCTAGTGTGCAAGAAATCATTGAAGTTTGTCATTTCAAATGTTCTGGATTTCTACTCCTATTATTGTCAGGGTAGTATAACTTACTGTTCACAGGCACATCATTGCTAGAAGTTACCAATATCTGCTGTTTGTGTATAATTAAAATAGAAATATTACTAGACTATATTCAAAGAATACCTGGAATAATACCAAAAATCTACAGGACATTGCTGCATATGATAAATTAATAAACACTAAAATGGGCTGTAAAGTATTGAGGTAAACATACTGTCTTTTATAGTTAAAGAAAGTGTGTTAGGTTTAAAAGAAAGAAAAGAAAGAAAGAAAAGGAGAGAGAAGGAAGGGAAAGAAAAGGGATGCAATAAAATATATCAGTATCCATTTCAGTCTGTTATGGCCAATAAGTTGGCTGTTCGAAACATTGTAGCTTCTTTTCTCTTTTGGCACCATATAGAATTTATTTTACTGTCCTGTGTTATGTCTTATAATTTAGCTTGTGTTTCATGTTTTGTCTACATGTACTATCATAAGCACCAAAAATAGATTGACCACATTCTCAGTCCATTGTTAAAAATAATCAAACAAAATATTTAGTACTATGTGACCGACCTTATATTTATTATGGTTATTGTATTAAAGTATTGTTTTGTCCTTTGTGTTTTATATTTAAAAATTTCAATTAAAAAAAAAAGAGGAAAAAAAGAAATTGTTTTAGGTTTAAATAAGTTAAAAAAAAATAAATTGTATATGTGCCTAAAGATGGATTACATTCTAAGTTCCATACCTCTCTCATACCTCTCATGATAGGACTTTAAAAAATAAATAAAATATGAGATGTAAGCCCCTTATCCAAGTGTGTTGTGGAGTAACACTGAAATTATTCTTAGGGTTTTATTCACAAAACACAAAACTATAATACACTGAAAGCTGCAATGAAAAACATTAAGCTAAGAAAAAGGGATAGATGGATAATTATTCTATTCTAACTTTTTTTTCCAATAAATTTAACGTTTTCGTTTTTTTTTTTTAATTCATTACAATTCAGGGTTTAGTGAATAAATCCCATTAGCTGCAAAGTAATTCATATTCTGTACTACCTAGCAGTCTTGTGAATTTGAGACGATATTTCAGAATCCTTAATGATTTAATAAAACATAATATAGATGAATAAAAATAGGACTTCACCGCACCCTCTTCTAGTATTGTTATGTCTAGTACGTAAAGTAAAAAATCAGAATCAATATCTAACTTTTAGTTAGCTACTCGATCGAGCAAAAGTCTCACTTGAGACAATTCCATTTTAATATTCTAAAGGTTTCCTTTAATCCTTTACCCTTGGGATAGAGAACAAGTCCAGATCAAAGAATGTTAGGGGATCCCCAATCCACTGGCTTTTAAAATTACCTACATGTCCTAATACTCAGCCCAAAGTTCTACCTAATAACCCACAAAATACTGTGCCAAGTTGTCGCACAAAACTACTGGTACACATATCTCTCAATAGCCACACATGCCCTACAATTTTCTTAAATTCTTCCCATGGATATAGAAATTTGATACAAAAATGTAACATTTTGAAAGTCCAAAAGCAACTAAAAAAGAACGTGATTATCTGAGAGGGAAGAGCAGTATCCTTCTAGTGTTATTTTTTGCTTCTAATTTTTTGTTCACTAAACTTTTGCACAGGCCTACCATTAAGGATTGTAGGGTATACACGAATTAAAGAATTAGTCTAAGTACCATACAACCTCTGCATTATTGCAAGGAACATGGTGTTAGAGCTTCCTGAGCCCACTCTCATAAATGAGAATAATAGCAGCAGAGCAGCAACTATATTATTATTATTATTGCCATTTATATAGCGCCAACAGATTCTGTAGCACTTTACAATATATATATATATATAACTTATTATGTCTGGCAATCTATATATATAAACAGGACATATTTAAAAATGAAAGAAATCTCAATGTATCCTTCCGGGTAAAATATTTTATAAATAAATACAAAATAAAATCGCTGCTAATATAGGAAAGCGCAGTAGGGCTGTCAATCAGATAGGCTAGGAATGCTACCAAGCCATGGAATGCACACGAAAAATCCATGTCTTGAGAGCAAAGTACGGTTATTAAGCAATGAATCAGGTTATGTATAATCTGATAGCAGAAACACTGTACTTGATATCAGTTTATTGTCCAGTTCCAATCATCCTATGCAGCATCAGGTAGACCACTGAAGTGTAAATTGAGAAATGTAAGTTTTTATTGTTTTATTTTTACACTTTAATTTCTTTGCCTTTTTTAAATCCATTATGTATATTATTCCTTAAAACTATGGGGTACATTTTTTTTTTTTAAACACACTTGCCCTTTAAATCCAACCTAACTCTGTTATTACTGTAAAAGCGCAAGTTGTCAAGACAGTCACTTGAATGGACAATATAAGCCTCCGCTTTGTCAGGTCAGCACAGCTCATTTTCTACTGTTTACATTTTTAAATGCTTTGAAGTCTGAAATTATTTTCTTTCAACCTT